GATTGGAGCATTGAGTCCATTGATGTTTAGAGTGAGTATGGAAAGATATGAATTTATTGCCATTATGATGCTTGTAGAGTTGGAGTTTCTGGTGGTGTTCTCTGGTCCTTTCTAGTCTTTGTTGATTCTGGTATGTATGTATGTATTTATTTATTAATATTTATTTATTTATTTATTTTCATCTTTTCTCCCCTCAGAAAGTCCCCCTTAGAATTTCTTGCAGGGCTGGTTTAGTGGTCACAAACTCCTTTAATTTTTGTTTGTCTGGGAAACTTTTTATCTCTCCTTCTATTTTGAATGACAGCCTTGCTGGATAAAGAATTCTTGGCTGCATATTTTTCTAATTCAGCACACTGAATATATCCTGCCACTCCTTTCTGGCCTGCCATGTTTTTGTGGCTAGGTCTGCTACAAACATGATCTGTCTTCCCTTGTAGGTTAAGGACTTTTTTTCCCTTGCTGCTTTCATGATTCTCTCCTTGCCTGAGTATTTTGTGAATTTGATTATGATATAACTTGTTGATGGTTTTTGTTGAAACTAATGGGGGTCCTCTGTGCTTCCTGGATTTTGATGTCTGTGTTTTTCCGCAGGTTAGGAAAGTTTTCTGCCATGATTTGCTTACATAACCCTTCTACCCCTATTTCTCTCTCTTCCCCCCTGTGATTCTGATGTTGTTCCTTTTTAATGAGTCACTGATTTCTCTAATTTTTAAATTGGGCTCTTTTGCCTTTATCTCCCTTTTTTTCTGCTTCATTATTCTCCATAAGTTTGTCCTCTATATCACTGATTCTCTGTTCTGCCTCGTCCATCCTTGCTGCTGCTGCATCCGTCCGTGATTGCAGCTCAGGTATAGCATTTTTTACTTCATCGTGACCAGTTTTTACTTCTTTTATCTCTGCAGAAAGGGATTCTAATCTGTTTTCGACTCCAGCTACTATTCTTATTATCGTGATTCTAAACTCTGGTTCAGACATCTTGCTTGTATCTGCATTGGTTAAGTCCCTGGCTGTCATTTTGTCCTGCCGTTTCTTTTGGGGTGAATTCCTTCGTTTCGTCATTTTGAAGGGAGAAAAGGAATTAATGAGGTAGAAAAAATTAAAGTAAAAAAATTAAAATTAAAACAATATTAAAATTAAAAAATTAAAAACACACAAAAAGAATCGAATAAATGATGCTAGATCCTAGGTGTGTTTTGGTTTGGGTGTTGAAAGTGGCTTGATAGATTAGAGAAAAAAGGGGAAAGAAGAAAAAAAAAGGAAATAATTTGAAAATTTGAAAAAATGAATACGCTGAAGTAGACTAAAATGAAATGATGGATGTAAACTAGAATTTGGACAAATTTACACAAAAGTAAAAAATATAGTAACAAAATTAAAGAAAAATATTTTTAGTAAAAATGGAAAATCAAAGTGAATTCTTTCTCTTTCTGTATTCAAGAAAGAGAAAAGATATGAAAAAAAAAAGTGAATAGATGGACCTGCTAACATACTGAAATATGACTGAAATTACTTCGTTTTACCCTGGATGTCAGACTATGAAGCGCTTTATAGTCCATAAACTAAGCAGGAGGTAAGATTTCTGTTCTTGAAGAGCGAGGTTGGCCCATTTGGGCGGGGCTGAGTTTAACAGCTCAGTTCTCCAGTAGATGGTGCTGCTAGCCTACTGGGGTGGATTGTTGTGGCACTTGAAGGTGCATATGTGCATGTGTGGGAGTGGTGAAAATGGCATCACCCAGCTACCCAGTCTCTAGTATTGGAACTCTCTTCTCCTTGATCAGCAATCTCTCACCCGTCCTTTGTCTTCAGCTTTCATCCACTCCCTGCTTTTACACTGTCCATGACTGAGCCCCAGGTTGTACCTCTTTCCTGAGTTTTGTCTCAGATGTGGCCATTTCCCCTGGCCCCTTACTTCTGAGGGACTGCAGCTTTGACCCGTTCTGCCCCTCTGCGGAGGGTCTCACCAAGCAATGGCTGAATGCTGGCCGCACCCAGGAAAATTTGCATTACTGTGCTGCTGACGAAGCCCATAGACTGCGGCCAGGTGCCCGCCCGCCCCGGAAAAAGTTCTTTAGATTGTGTAGCAGCAGCATCTCAGGGATTATGGAAAATCACAACACATATTTGGCACTAGTGTTCACCCTTAATGACCTTGTTCCAGGATCAGCGATGTTGCCGTTCTCTGGGGTCTGCTCGGCCCAGGTTGCCTCCCAGCCTCTAGCAAATGTCCTTCCAGCAGTGGAACTGCTTCTCCCCGTGTGGCTCAAGAACCTCCTGGACCCCACTCTTCTCCTGGGGATTTGCTGTTAACCAGAGCACTGCCACGTATTGAGCTGCAGAGTTGCAGACGATCTGCGGTCCCCCTGTTTATAGTCTTAATGGAATTTAAACCCTCTCCTTTCTCTTTTTTCCCTTTTTAGTTCAGTTCCTGTGGCTGTTCCCAATTTTCCACTTTCTCTCCAGCTGCTTTTGTCGGGGGTGTTTTTCCTGTATTCTCCCCACTGTCTCTGTTCTCTCTCCACACTCAAAAGCACCTCTCTGCCCTCTGCGGCTTCTCTCTCAAGTTCACTTCTCCGCACTGCGTACCTTCTGACTTCTGTGGTTCAGGTTGTGCATATTGTTGTGTTAATCCTCAGATCACTTTTCTAGGTGTGCAGGATGGTTTAGTGTTGGTATGAGTGTATTTCATGGATGGAAGACACAAAAAACTTCCATGCTGTTCGTCCATCTTGGCTCCCTCTACATTCATTGTTTTAGAACTCTTTCTATCTTGTAAAACAAACTATACCCATTAAGTGACAACCCCCCAAACTCCCGTTTTCTAGTCCCTGGACGTCACCTTTCTACTTTCTGCCTGTATGAATTTCACTACTCCAGGTACCTCATATAAGTGGAGTGATACAGTATTTATCTATTTGTGACTGGCTTATTTCACTTATCATAATGTCTCCAAGGTTTATCCATGTTGTAGCATGTGTAAGAATTTTATTCCTTTTTAAGACTTAATAATATTCCATTGTATTGTGTAAATCACATTTGGTCGATCTATTTATCTGTCAGGGGACACTTGGGTTGCTTCCATCTTTTGGCTATTGTGAATAATGCTGCTTATGAACATGGGTCTACAAATAACTCTTTAAGACCCTGCTTTCAATTCTTTTGAGTGTATATCTAGAAATAGAACTGCTGGTAACTCTATTTTTATTTTTTAAGGAAGCAACTTACTGTTTTCCATAGAATCTGTACAATATTATACTCCCACTAACAGTATACTAGGGTTCCAGTTTCTCTCCAACACCTATTATTTTCTGTTTTTTTTTTTTTTTAATTGTTCTGTTTTTTTTTGGATAGCCATCCTAATCATTGTGAGATGGTTCTGTATTATTTATTTTCTGATGAATGTTGCTATTAGTTACTTTTTACATTCATAGTGAATATAAAGGTATTTCAATTTTGTAAAAATTGCATGAATTAACCTTTTGTTTTTTTAGTATATATCCAATATTGTTTTCTGCTACAGTAGGTACTGCATTTATTTCAGATGCAGTAGTAAATTGTTAAATGGGACAAGGTTGATTACTAGGATAAATGAAAAGCTTAATGCTAAAGGATGTTTTGAGTTTTTAGTAAAGCACTGTGAATATCACAGTAAATATCTTAGTTGTTTTTAAGCAGCAGAAGTTGGAAACCCAAGAATGATCATTCTTAGTAAATAGTAACTGCTAAATTTTTTGATAGGATATTTTTGTTCAGTGTTTATTGACAGATTAAACTTATATTGACCAATGTCTTTTTAAAAAACAACTTGATTTGAGCTATAATTTATCATAAAATTAATCTGCTTTATGTGTACTGTTCAGTGATTTTTTAAAAAAATTTTTTTTTCAACGTTTATTTATTTTGGGGACAGAGAGAGACAGAGCATGAACGGGGAAGGGGCAGAGAGAGAGGGAGACACAGAATGGGAAGCAGGCTCCAGGCTCTGAGCCATCAGCCCAGAGCCCGACGCGGGGCTCGAACTCACGGACCGCGAGATCGTGACCTGGCTGAAGTCGGACGCTTAACTGACTGCGCCACCCAGGCGCCCCCAGTGATTTTTTAAATGTACTGAGTTGTGCAACCATCACCATAATCCAGTTTACAACATTTCCATTGTCCCAGTAAGATTCCTTGTGACCAAGACCCTCCTGGCTACATAGAATTGTTGGCAAAAGATTTCTTATAATGAGGCTGTATTTATTGCTTCTCTTAAATGAATCCAAATGTTTTCTATCCCTTGTATTCTGCTTCACCAAATATACATTGTCAAATAGGTAAATTTTATTTAGGGGTCTGTATAATGATACACATGAAATGTATTTGAATTTGTACAACTTTTAGCAAGGAAAATCTTGCATCAGAGAAAGAAATTTTTTCATGTTTATTTTAGAGGGTCCCAATTAAACATTTTTCTGTTTGACTTTAGTTTTTGATCTTTTACAGCTGGTTTATTTTCAGTAGATCACAGTAGAAAAGATTGACAAGCTCATGAAAAACGCTTTTAATTATTTGCTGCTCATAGACATCAAAACCTTTCTAGGCAGGTCATGTTTATAGATAATTAAAATGAAAAAGAACTAAATAGATCAGTTTATCATTAATAGAGTAATAAATGCAGTTGTTGGCAAACTTGGCATTTTCCTTCTAATTCACCAGAGGGCACTCTTTTCTAGTCTATTTTAACTCTGATCTTCTGATTATTATATTATACTTTGAAAGATTTAAGTCCTTCATTGGGTTCCAGGTCTGGATTATTTGGAGACTAATGATTGTTTTCTTCTGTAACTTTCAGTTTTTTGTGATCTGCTTTATAATAAGCATCGTTAAAAAGGGCACTATAAACAAGCTATTATTCTTAAATGCTATATAGGCAGTAGTGTATGCGGCATGAAATATCTCTCCAATGTTGTCTTTTATTGCCTACCAGCTCTATCATGTCACTGTTTCTGTCTGTTGATGTTAAGGTTTCAGATCGGGTGGAACGACGGCTTCAGGAAATAGAGAGAGAGATGCGCACAGAAAGGGAGCTGGTGGAAAGACGGCAGGATCAACTGGGACTTATTTCTTTGCAGCTACAGGAGGTTTGTAAAAAAAAATACCTTCTCAGAGAGTAAATCTTTTTTTTTTTTTAACGTTTATTTATTTTTGAGACAGAGAGAGACAGAGCATGAACGGGGGAGGGTCAGAGAGAGGGAGACACAGAATCTGAAACAGGCTCCAGGCTCCAAGCTGTCAGCACAGAGCCTGACGCGGGGCTCGAACTCACGGACCGTGAGATCTTGACCCGAGCCGAAGTCGGCCGCCCAACCGACTGAGCCACCCAGGCGCCCCTCAGAGAGTAAATCTTAAGTTTGATAATTACTTAGCTGCTGTTAAAATGATTAGAGTTCCTTGGTTGTTGCATGTGGCAGTATATTTCATTCCATATGAGAAATATAGCATATAGTTTGCATAGTTCAGTGTGAAGAAGACAGCCCTACCTGGTTCAAACCCAAAGTCTGCTGCTTGCTAGCTTTGTGACCTTGAGCAAGTTCCTTAGTTTGTCTGGGCTCATTTTCTCTGTGGAAAAGTGGAAATAATAATAGTTTTTACCTAATCAGGTTTTTACCTAATGTAGTGTCTGGCATGTATTCAAAATGTTAACTGAAAGTATTATTCTGATAAATTTTCCTTGGCATGAACTAGACCAGGGGTCAACAAACTATGGCCAATGGGTCAAATGTGACCCACTGCGTATTTTTGTAAATAAAGTTTTATTGGAACAAGCTGTTCCATTCTTACTATTTGTGGAAGGTGGTGTTTATTTTGTTCTTTGTTTTTATTTTAAAACACCGTGGCAGCATTGAAGAGTTGTAAAAGAAACTATCTGACCCACAAAGCCTGAAGTATTGACTATCTGGTCCATTTATAAAAGTTTGCCAACCCCTAGACTGGACTATGGTCAAACCATTTCAAAATTGAGATCACTTACCTTTCAGGTATCTTTTGAAATTTCAGACTTATGAGGGCATTGAAAAAATTACAACAAAGGACTTCTGTATACTCGTTACCTAGATTCTCCCAATATTCACGTTTTACATGAATAAATTCACATTTTACTTGTTTTATCATTATATGTGTATGTATGTTATAATAATCATAATAATGTAAAATAATTATTTTTATTAGATACGATTTTTTTGAGCTGGTTGCAGACACGATGTAAATACTTACATAGCTAAATAATAAGGTGTGTACATTCTCTTCCATAATCACAGGAAATTAATTTTGGATCAATACTATGCTATAATCTATAGTTTTTTTTTTTTTTAATAACCTATAGTTTTTATTCAAATTTTGCTACTAACATCCTTTTCTGGTCCAGGGTACAGTACAGGGTCACATATGGCATGTGACCATCATGTCTCTTTGGTCTGGAACAGTTTTTTCAATTTTTCTTTTTTGTCATGACCGTGATAACTTTGCAGAGTACTGGCCAGTTATTTTGTAGAATGCCTTTCTTTTTATTTTTTTGATGTTGCCTCATGACTAAATTCAGGTTATGTACTTTTGGCAGGAAATCCAGAGAATTGGTATTTCACTTTTCCCAGGATATCTTACTAGGAGGCATGTAATGTCCATTTGTCCCTTTACCAGTAAAAATGGAACATTTGGTTGAGGTGTTATCTGCCAGGTTTCTTCACTGTAAATTTTACTATTAGGCCTTTTTAATTATTTATTTTATGGGGAGATTCTTAGAAACTTGGAAATAGCTTATATCTTATCATACTTTTACCCACAGATGTTAACATTTATTAATATTCTCTCTTGAAACAGTTAAAACTCCTAAGTGATGCTAAATGGTGATTTTTTTTTTTTTTTGCACATTGCATCATTTTTTCTACATTTATGAATTGGATTCCTACTGTGTGGAAGGGCTTTGCTTTTTCTCTTAATGTTGGTGTAGATTTGTGAATTCTCACTATATTACATTGGTGATGTTTTATTACTATCATTGTAGAAAATTAATTTGTTGAAATTCCCTTTAAATGTGTCTTAGATCTATATATAAAGTATAAAAAATTAAAACAAGAAAACTTAAAAATTAAAAAAATGATTTCTTTCTTCTTTACAAAATGGTTTTCTCTAAAAATGGTGTTCTACAAATGCACTTATGTGTGCATGAACATCACTAACTCTTATAAATTGATGGATTAAAATTTTTTCCTAAGTATTAGGAGACACTGCCAATTGAAAATTAGGAGCAAAAAGTGCAACCTTAAATTATAATGTAAGCTGACAGAAAGATCTACTTTTGTTTTCTAAAGTTCCGTTTTTCTCCGTTTCACAAAAGGAGGCATACCCTTGTTAGTTGGTAATTACTTTGAAGAGGATACTTTGTTGAATAATTAGATACAGCATGTGGGTAGCCTTTTTTTTAAAACCTTGATTTTTATACATTTGTTCTCAAAGCAAATTGCATCTGGTGAGCTTAAGAATAGTACTGAAGAGACAATTGTTCTTTTTTACAAGAGAAAATTAGAGAAATTTTCTGTACTTATTTTCCTCTTTCTTTGCAGAATGCACAAAATTACAAAGAAAGAAGGAGAGGAAGATTGCTTCCCACCCCTATTCTTGAGAAACCAGAGCCTGAATATTTGCATTGTAATTGTCAATTTGACTAAAAGCTTGAGTTGTGATTTGGAATTCCATCTCTGACAATACAGTAGAGGATCACTATTGATGAGAAATGTTTAATTTCATATTTTGTCACTTTAAGTGGTGACCTATATGCTTTTAAAAGGTGGTTTTGGATTAAACAATGCAGTGGAAGCTGGAAAGGATTAATTTAGGCTGATACGTTTTCCTACTCCCAAGTTAAGTGGCTTAGGCTGTACTGGAAAGGTCATGTTTAAGGAGAGGAAACACTTTGCTTTTTGTTCAATATTAAAAAACACTTTTGCAAATACCTGTACTGTACGATCATAGTAATTGATATATTTTGTTTCTGGCTGTGGTGAGAAAATGAAAGTATAGGTGAGTAAGGAGGCCTGATTTTAGCCACTGTGCTCTTCTGCCTCCTTAAAATGTATAATTCAATCTTGGTGAATATTATGACATTTAAAAATTGTTAAGAGATTAGGAGTATTCATTAAAAATTCCAGGATGTCAGAGATTTCTAGGTATAATGTCATATTACAGCGAGGCAATATGTAGTTTTGGTTAAAACCTGCTTCTTTTTAGTGATCTAATGAGGTCCTTAGAACTTTATTCCCATTTAATGAAAAACACAGTATTAATCATTGGAAATAGTTTGAGAACGGCCCTCTCCTCTTCTTGGTTAGAGGTCTTAAGAAGGAATTGTTCACTTTTTAATGTGTATGTGTGTTTTTCCCCCTCCTGGTCTAAGCATGTGAGCTGTGGACACTCTGGAATCTACTCCCTTTATTAAGTGTCAGCTACTAATGTGCTACTGATGTCACATGAATGTCAGTTTTTCTTAACCAGTATGCAAACAATAAAATATTTGTTTAATGTTTATCATATTACAAACTCTTAGTAAGCTAACTTTGATTAGTTAAATATAGTGGAGTGGGGTTGGCATGGTGAGTGTTAGGGTCACAAATGAGGTCTTTAGAAGTAAGCTCAAGTCAAAGCTTTTTCTTTTTTGCAGGCCCCAAAATAACATAAGATCCTAGATAAAATTTCTAACTCTTGGCTATGGCATCTTGGGAATTCCTGACTTGTTTTTTGTTTTGTTTTTTTTTTTTTTTTCCTAGCTGTTTCTTGTAAATTGATTGTTATTTCTCCATCTTCATTTGAATTACTTAAAACAAAATACATGAGACAAATGCTGGGTGCATATTTGTAAATGCTTCTCAGATCATTTCGTAGAATATTAAAGTGCTAGCTCTCCCACTTACCCCACCAGTAATATTCCATGCTTGCTGATGATCTTGGGGGAATCAGGTGCCTCAAGGTTTAAAGGTGCTTTGTGGAGAAGCCTGTGGGGGAAGGTAAAGGATGGAATCTTAATTGAAGATGGTGAAGATTAGTGGGGAATTGTTAGTGTAAGATGGGAGTCCAGCTCAGTGGTTTTTCAGTCTGTCTGTCTATGGGAAACCAGATTATGTGAGCCTCATCAGTAACATTAAAGTCATGTACAGAAAAATTAAAGTGACTGATAGATTTTTTTTCAATATTTTTCTTCATCTTTTGGCATTCGTACCAATTGTGAAAAACTAATGAAGAAATAGCTGTTTGTTCCTTCCCAGAAATGTCATTGTGGCTCCAGAGATGCTGAGTAATATGGATACTTCACCTAAGAAAAGCCTTGGGTACAGTTTATAAATGTATTTAGTTTGGACTCATTAAGGGAGAAGCTTCTAAGGAAGCCAAGAATGTTTTCTTAATGTCCTTTTAATAGCTTTAGCATCTCCCTTGAGGCTTCTGTGTCAATTCAGAGGAGAACCTAGTCAGGCAAATGTTCTAACGTGCCCCTCATTAACCCTTTCCTTTCAAGGCCCCCCTACTCCGGTTTGGAGCCACAGGGGCCTTTCTGAGGCTGGTTGATTTTGAACTCCCCTTCACTTATCTTTCTAGGGCTGAATTGCATAACTTTTGCATGGCACTTTATCCTCTCATGTTGGCATAGTCTGTGCCCCCACATTTTCACATGTTTATTTCTTAGTACACACTTCCCTTACCCCATTAATGTTATTAGATGCCTTTTATATAAATGTCGGTTAAATCATCCTGACTTTGACCATCCCAGTAGCCTTCTTGGGCTTTGAGAAAGACCAGTAGAATTTACAAGCAAACAGGAATGTAAAATACAAGTTCCGTGGAAAGCTCAGAAGATGTACTGTATTTTCCCAGTCCCTGGGACATGAGTTCTAGAATGCAGTCCTTTTCAGGCCCAGGTGCCCGGGGAGGGGCGCTCGCATGTGGTAAGCAGAGAATAACACAGTAAGGGTGACATTTGGGGCCTTCAGACTGCCAAGGGCCTGAGAGCACTGAGTATCACAAAAGCACAACTACACGTGTACTATTCTGTAGGAAAATGTGTGTAGCTGGGGGAAATTCAAAAATTCTTGCTCTA